GGGGACCGGGAGCAAGGAAGAGCGGCGGGGGCGGGGGAGGGGCAGAGCGGTATGGGAAGAGACGGTAAAAGGGAACTGACTCGTCAAACGTGACGTCATGAGAAGGGAAGACACGGCGCGATGTAGGGTGGTAAAACTGCCAGCCAAGCACGTAAGGGACAAAGCCAAGGAAGACGCAGGGGATAGCACGGGCGGGGAGCTTGTCCGCGGACGTATCGCAAACAAAGGCACGAGAACCCCAGACCCGGAACACCGACGCATCGGCAACCTCCCCCATCCAACGCAGTATGGGCGAGGTCTCCAGCAAGGAGACACGGGGCCAGAGGTTGAGCTGATGCGCAGCATACCGGACCGCAAACGGCCACAGAAATTGGGGAGCAGCCGCATGGATCATGGAGGTACGAGCGACCTCCATGACTAAGCCAATGCGACGCTCAGCAATCCCATTTTGCTGAGGGGAGTCTGGAAGCGTGAACGACTAGAGAATGCCCACCCCACGACAAAAGTCACTCAAGAGGTCGAAGGAGAACTCACCACCTCTGTCAGAGTGCAGACGCAGGACAGGAAGGTCCTGGCGGAACCGCTCGCGGAGCTGGAGACGGATTGTGCGGATCCAAGGGATCAAGACATCAACAACCTCACCCTTGCTGCGCAAGGGGAAGACCGTGGTGTACCGCGTGTAGTCGTCAACAACCAGCAGAAAGTAGTGCTCGCGGCCCTGTCCAGTGACGCGGGCTGGGCCCCACACGTCCATGTGGAGAGTCTACAAGGGAGTAGTCGTCGGGGGAAACGAGGAGTGAGGAGCGGCGCGCTGCCACCCCTCGACGCAAGGAAGGCAGGGCGGGGCAGGCGAGGGCGGAAGGGGAGGCAGAGACCTGGGTAGACCTGAGACAAGAAGACGATAGTGCATGCCACGAAGGCATGGCAAGAAGGGGTGACCCAGGCGGTGGTGCCACAGAAGAGTCTGGTGCGACAGGAGGCGACATGAGCAAGAGGTGGCTACCTGACCTGACGCAGACACCTAAGAAGACGCCGCTACCTAAGGAGGCTTGGTAGCCAGTGTGTACAGACTGGAACCTGGTCGACGAGTGAACGGCCCGTTCGTGTACACGTGCTGATCGACACACGCTGACCCCAAGGAGCGGTGGTGGTGACCATCGCGCACTAACAGACAAAGCATACATAGCAGAAAAGATAACATCAAAGTCTAGGTCAAAGATAGCAACTCTAGACCTAAGCACATCTGCCCAACGAGGGTGCTCGACGTCGTCACCAAACTCAGCACGCCAAGCGTCGTCTAGCCGGGAGAAGCAGCGGTGCTAAGTGTGAAGCCTCCCGCATGTCTGACCAGCACGGTCACCCGTGCGAATGACATACGGGCAGCTATCACTACCCCCAAACGTCCCACGCTGAAACAACCACTCACGAAGCTGCTGGGGCGACTGGGTCTCACTCCGACGCTGCTGCTGCTGCCGCTGGCCACCGCATGTTCCTCCACGCCGAGGTCCACTCCTACCGCCACCAGTCCCACCGCCGCCACTGCCGCTACCCCCACCGCTGCCTCCACCGCCGGCACCAGAGCCCCCACTCCCGCCACCAGTTCCACCGCCACCACCACCTCCACTGCCTCCACCACCTCCACTGCTGCCCCCACCACCACTCCCGCTGCTACCTCCACCACCACCGCTGTCACTTCCTCCACCCCTGCCACCCTCACCCTTGCTGCTGCGGCGCTTTGCACTAGCAGAAGCAGCCCCGACGTCCTCAGCAACTGGGACGTCTGGAGCAGCAGTAGAGGCGTAGGAGGGGGCAAGGGGGGAGGGGGAGCACCCCTCAAAGAAGGGCGGGCGTGGAGTGCCACGAGCAGCACCTACAGCAACTGCACTAGTCTCAGCTGCGAGGAGATGCTGCTCGATTAGGTCAACAGTGAGGGAGGTGGGGTCAAGAGAGAGAAAGTGGTCCCTGACAGAGCGAAGAGAGTCAGGGAGGCGAGAGACTATGAAGTAGAGGGTGATGAACATGGGGGGTTGGTTCGTGCCAAGGAACTCAGCAGGGGCGGTAGCGCGGTAGCGAGCGTCGCTAGTGCGCAGGTGGGAAACCAGGTCCTCTACTGTGGCAAAGGCTGACAGCTCGGGGAACATGTAGGGCAGTAGTAGTCGGCCTAGAGCAGCAGTGGCAGGCGAGGAGTAGCGAGCGACTACAGCGTCGTACAGGGCATGTGCTGTCCTGTGCTGTCCGACGTGAGCGCATTCGGCTAACGGCAGGTGGTTGCGAATGGCTAAGCGGGCAGCAGCGTCACGAGTAAGCCACTGTGAGCGAGTCACACTGTCAGCTGTGGCGGGAGGGGCGGTAGCGGCACCTGACGCGAGGTCAAACAGCGAAACGCTGTCCTTAGAATCGCTCTGGAGGTACAGCTGCAGGTCGTCGAGCCACGTGTCAAACTGAACGGGTCTGCCCTCATGATCGAACGCGAGAACTCGAAGCGAAGGCATAGTGGCGCAGCACGCAAGAGCAGCAGTAGCAGCAGCAGTAGCAGCAGTAGCAGTAGCAGCAGTAGTAGCAGCAGTAGCAGCTGGGGCCGAGGGGTCGGGAACGAAGGGGCCGAGGGGGGGAGGCCGGGGGCCTAGGGACGTCGGGCCGCGGGGCCAGGAACGAAGGGGCCGAGGGGCCAAGGGGCCGGGGGCCTAGGGGCGACGGGCCGTGGGGCCAGGAACGAAGGGGCCGAGGGGCCGGGGGCCTAGGGGCGACGTGCCGTGCGGCCAGGAACGAAGGGGCCGAGGGGCCGGGGGCCTAGGGGCGACGGGCCGCGGGGCTAGGAACTAAGGGGGCCGAGGGGCCAAGGGGCCGGGGGCCTAGGGGCGTCGGGACGCGGGGCCAGGAACGAAGGGGGACCGAGGGGCCGGGGGCCTAGGGGCGTCGGGCCGCGGGGCCAGGAACGAAGTGGGGCCGAGGGGTCGGGGGCCTAGGGGCGACGGGCCGCGGGGCCAGGAACGAAGTGGGCCGAGGGGCCGGGTACGGAGGGGCCGAGGGGCCTTGGTCGACGGGGGGGGGGGGGGGGGGGGGGGGGGGGGCGGGGCGTAGGGACGTGCCTAGGGGAGTGACGGGCGACAGACTGGAACTGGGGCCTAGGGGCGTCGGGCGCGAGCGACGGGGCGATGGGGCTGGGCCTAGGGGAGCGACGGGGGACGGGGCCGACGGGCCTAGGGGCGTCGGGCGCGAGCGACGGGGCGACGGGACCGGGCCTAGGGGAGCGACGGGCTACGGGGCCGGCTGGCCTAGGGGCGTTGCGCGACGGGCAACGGGCCGGAACCTGGGCCTAGGGGCGTCGGGCGCGAGCGACGGGGCCGAGGGGCCTTGGTCGACCGGGGGGGGGGGGCCGCGGGGCGTAGGGCCGTGCCCAGGGGAGCGACGGGCGACGTGGCCGACGGGGCCTAGGGGCGTTGCGCGACGGGCGACGTGGCCGAGCCTAGGGGAGCGACGGGCCGGGGGACCGGAGCCTAAGGGCAACGGGCCTAGGGGCTACGCGCGACGGGCGACGGGCCGGGACCGGGGCCTAGGGGCGTCGGGCGCGAGCAACGGGCGACGGGGCGGGGGCCTAGGGGCGACGGGCGCGAGGCTACGGGCCGGGGCCTAGGGTCGAGAGGAGGGCCACACGAGGGTGGCCAGCAGGGCAGCAGGTGGTGGGCCAAAAAAAAAAAAGCGGTCCTAGGAAGGGACCTGCTCTGAAACCATGTCAGAAAGAACGAACGAGAATGAATGAACTAGCAAAGAGTTGGGTACAAGTACTAACCCTAGTTGGGTTGTACCCCTTATGGGCTACCCCACTACAGCCTACACAATGTAAGCTATGTATAAGATTGACAGAGCATCCGAGTGCGAGTCCCAAAGTCACGCGTTCTTCTTTTGCAATTCCTTCGTAAGGTATAGAACATAGTGAAATGAGGAGGGCTCTAAGAAAACCAATCAGAAATTGAATTTTAACATTTTCTGATTCAGCAGAAATGTTTTGAAGGAAATTCTTATGCATCAAACAGAAAAAACCACACCATCTTATGCATCAGGCAGGCTCAAAACCTAGGGATGACCCTGTACCTGATACCCTGATTCCAAAGGGTGGCCCAAAACCAATCTGAAGCCCTGATTGCAATTATTCCAGTACGGACTCCCATGCATAAAAAAAAAAAAAAAAAAAAAAATCTCTAGGTTGGTCATGCCGTGACTTTCCGATACAATTCAAACTGGTCAGCTCCACTAGCATAATGCAGAAGGGGGATCTTTCAAGGGAGACATCTGGCAACGGCAGAGAGAGCGAGGGGCAGGGAGAGCAGCAGAGGATGGTCTCGGAGGGCAGATGCGATGGCAGCAGTGGAGGCTTGGAGAGAGGCCGCGAAGGCAGTGTGTGTGGCCCTGGCGGGATGGTGGGATGGGGAGATGGGGGAATGAAGAGACATGGTAGTGATGTGGCGAGGTGGGGTGAGGTGATGAGATAGGAAGAACGTGATGTGGTGAGAGATGGTAAAGTGGCGAGATGGTGAAAAGGAGATGTGGCAAGAAGGTAAAGTGGTGAGTTGGTAGGAAAGTCTATAATCGAAGGTAGTGTGGAAAGATGGGCAAAATTATGCAATACTAATACAACATCATCCCTCATCACACAACACAATTGTCACCCACTCTCACCATCTCCCTCTCACTACCCTCATCACCATGTGACTCCATCCAATCACTCCCATTTCCTCCTTTTTTCCTCCCCCACTCTTTCTCTACCCCATCCCACCACTCCTCCCCCCCTTCCCCCCACACACACCTCAAACCCCTGTTCAATTCCCCCCCTTTACTCCCTTCCCACCACCCCCCTCCTTCCCTTCTCCCCACCCCCACTCACCTCATCTCTCTGACAAACCCCTCGTCCTCCAAACCGCGCTGTAGCTCCTCCGCCGCTAACTGACGACGGAATGCCGCCCGTGCCGCCCGTCCCTTGGCATCTGACGTGGCATCGCCGTATGCATGATTGGAGAGCTTGCCTCCACTGGTTCTACCCTCCACCCCATGCTCTCATCTTTATCAACCTCCTCCTCCCCCTCCTCCCACTCCCCCCCCTCCTCCCCTTCCTCCCCTCCCCATCCACCTTACCTCGCCCATCTATGCCTTTCCTTCTTGCTTCTACGTCTGATGAGGATGATGAGGGTGAAGAGGGGAATGAGGATGACGAGGTGAATGAGGATGATGAGGGGAATGAGGATGATGAGGGGAATGAGGATGATCAGGGGAATGAGAAGGATGAGGCGAATGAGGATGACGAGGAGAATGGGGATGATGGGGGGAATGAAGAAGATGAGGGGAATGAGGATGATGAGGCGAATGAGGATGATGAGGGGAATGAGGATGATGAGGGGAATGAGGATGATGAGGGGAATGAGGATAACGAGGATAATGGGGGTGATGAGGCGAATGAGGATGATGGGGCGAATAGGGATGATGAGGGGAACGAGGATGATGAGGCGAATGGGGATGATGAAGGGAATGAGGATGATGATGCGAATGAGGATGATGAGGGGAATGAGGATGATGAGGGGAATGAGAATGATGAGGCGAATGAGGATAATGAGGGGAATGGGGATGATGAGGCGAATGAGGATGATGAGGCGAATGAGGATGATGAGGGGAATGGGGATGATGAGGGGAATGAGGATGATGAGGCGAATGGGGATGATGAGGGGAATGAGGATGATGAGGGGAATGAGGATGATGAGGCGAATGGGGATGATGAGGGGAATGGGGATGATGAGGAGAATGGGGATGATGAGGGGAATGGGGATGATGGGGGGAATGAGGATGATGAGGGGAATGGGGATGACGAGGCGAATGAGGATGATGAGGGGAATGAGGATGATGAGGCGAATGAGGATGATGAGGCGAATGAGGATGATGAGGCAAAACTACTTGGCAATTGTGTGGGCAGGAACGAGACAAAGATTCAATCATACAATTCAGCAACGACTGAAAACCACCTGAGCTCCAGCCCATGTGCCCGTGTGCTCAGGTACATGTGTGAAAGGCAGAGTGTATGAGGTCATACTTGTTCCATGCATGACGTCATACTTGCTCCATGCATGACGTCATACTTGCTCCATGCATGACGTCATACTTGTTCCATGCATGAGGTCATACTTGTTCCATGCATGAGGTCATACTTGTTCCATGCATGAGGTCATACTTGTTCCATGCATGAGGTCATGCTTGTTCCATGCATGAGGTCATGCTTGTTCCATGCATGAGGTCATGCTTGTTCCATGCATGAGGTCATGCTTGTTCCATGCATGAGGTCATGCTTGTTCCATGCATGAGGTCATACTTGTTCCATGCATGAGGTCATGCCTACTATGTAGTAACAATAGTTTACAAGGAGCATTACAACTGCAATGTAAGCAAAGGATGATGGATACACGAATATTTATCATGTCAACCGCTCACAGTCACCACCTACATACGTGCACGAACTACCACAAGCAATGGAAGAGTCACAATCGAAGGGATGTGGGGATCAGCACCCCCCCCAGTAGATACACCTCCAGAGGCCAAGGAATGCACTGCCCACAGAGAAGGGAACAAACATTGCAACGTGGAATAGTGGGGGCCATGCAGGATGTGACGAAATGGCGTGGGTTAGTAAACAGATTGTGATGCGATGGGACGGTCGTAAGAAGAATGTGATGACATGAGGGCCGAAAACGGGAATTCATAATCAACAAATTTTGCTGATTATATCTGACATCATGTCGTCACCCGTGGGTGACAGATTACTTACTTGGTGCGCACTCTTTCTTGTAGGCATTACGCTTCGTAGCGCACTTTCCATTCCAATCTTTCTCGCAATGATCCGAACTCCAACCATTCACATCATTACAGTTGTATTTGTTGGTGCAACCCTACGGTTTGCACTCGGCTTGTTGTCCGTGTGCGTGAATGTGTGTGTGTATGGAATGGTATGAGGGCATGGGATAATATATATTTCATGCTTATAATTGTGTGTGAATGTTGAGTCATGATGTCGAGTGTGTGTGTCGAGTCAATAGCGAGTTATCGCTAGACGCGTGTTACGCGGTCGTTTGTGTCTCGCGCGCGGTTTCTATTTTGTCGTGCGCGGTTTCTATTTTGTCCTGTGTCGAACGTTTGGCGTGTCGCAGGTGTGTGCAGCAGACCCATCAAGAACTCAAGGATGAGTTTGTGATGAAGAGCCCGAGCCTTGGTGTCAAGCCTCAAGTGATTTCGAAGCTCGCCAAAAAGGGTACACCTCAAGATATTGAAGATAGTTACATTACTTTGTGTAGTGTAACATTTCACTTGGTGTAGGCCCTAGTGAAGGGTAGTTTCGAGACCCTTCTTGGTTGGGGACAGTGTGGCACTGTTCCACATCACTGTACCTCGGCTCTTGGGGTTTGTAGGAGCTGGGAGTCATTCCCAACTCGTAACTCTTCCTATCTTGTGTTCTAAGACTATAGTAGCTGCCATAGTAACGTTCGTTCAAACCGACGCTGTGTCGTCAATTCTTTATGAAATCGTGCAATCTAAATTGCTAATTGTAGACGACGTGAAGACGCTCCAGATCCAATTTGAATCAAGTCATTTGCAGCTGTGAGCAGAACGCTATCAACGTTTGAAGCCGCTGTGCAGAAATCCGTCTGTGCTCTCTATCTTTCGTTTTAGGCACATTCAAGCCTATTGTGACTATAACAAGTGGTATCAGAGGCCCTTGGAGCAGTTTCGACAATGTCTGGACCTGAGGAAAGGGGTGGCAGAGGTGCTGGTGGCAGTGGAGAAGCTCAAGCTCAAGGCCAACCCCGTGATTCAGCCATGGCGCCCATGCAACCAAGTCTTGGCCCACCTAGGGATGAGCCTAGGGTGTTTGGGCTTGACAAGTTCAACGGTGACAACTTTGCTGAATGGTCCTTCAAGATGGAGAACATCTTTGACCACTATGACCTGCTGGAGGTGATGGAAGGAACGGAGAAGCGCCCCGAGAACGACCCGGAGAAGAGCCCGTGGGTGCGGAAGAGCGCACAAGGCTATCTCTTACTTGGGCAAGCGTTGGGGAGCAGTCAGATCCGTCACATCAAGCCATTCCAGCGTGAACCAGAGAAAGGACCAAAGGCATGGGCTGCTCTCAAGGGTGTACATGCTCCTGCAACAGCGGCGGTAGCGGTGGTGTTGGAACGGCAAATGGCGGCACTACGAATTGAAGAAGACGAAGCGGTTGAAGAAGGGGTGCAGAAATTCTTCGACTTGTTGACGCGGCTTGAGGGAGCTGATTTGAACTACAGTGAGCTCCAAAAGAAGACCAAGTTGCTGGCCTTACTCCCAGAGTCATGGTCCTCGCTCATCATCAACCTTAATCGCGACTTGCCCCGCCTCTCGCTTGAAGACGTGAAGCGAGCTATCCTTCAAGAGGATTTCCGCCGCCGTGAGTTGGCGAGTGCGGATGGCGCTGGGGCAGCGAGCATCGGCCGTGGATATGGTCGAGGAAGAGGCAGAGGACGAGGGGGAGGAAGGTTTGGTGGCAGCAACTTCGGCGGAGGCCGCAGGAGTGGCGGTTACGGCAGCGACGACAAGAGCTACGGACGCGGTCGCGGCCGATTCGACGGCGAGTGTCACTATTGCCACAAGAGCGGACACATGTGGCGCGACTGCTACAAACTCCCTGATGGTTGGACCCCTGCTCAAGGCCAAGAGGGTAGAGGAGCAGGAGGAGGGAGAGGACGAGGCCGTGGAGGCCGTGGCGGTCGCGGTGGCGGAGCTGCAAACATGAAGAGCGGAGACAACGACAAGGACCCGAGCGACGATCGATACCCGGGTCTATTCTACTTCGTGTCGACGCAAGTACCGGCTGGTCCAGAGAAGGATGAAGGCTTTGAGGAGCCAGCAGCTGTGGGGAAGGTGACCCTACACCCCCTGGACTATTGGGCGATTGATAGTGGCGCTACCTATAGCATGACACCTCGCCCGGACTTGCTCACCGAACTCGAGCCGTCACCGGTGAAGCATGTCACATCGGCTTTGGGGCAGCGAGCAGAGGTGAAAGGCATGGGCAAGGCCATGTTCAAGGGTGCTGGTGGGAAGATGGTGGGCCTCAAGAACGTGCTTTGGGTGCCCAGCCTTGCTGCAAACCTGATTTCCGTGCGGCGGTTGGCAAAGGCCGGCATGGACACGAACTCGAAGGGAGCCAAGACCTACACCGCAAGGCTTGGCGATCGAATTCTTTGGGACCTTCATGAGGACAGGGATGTCTACAACGAGATGTGGCAGATCCCAGTGGTCCCTATGCCTAAGGAGAGGCAAGTGGCAGCAAGCATCAGCACCAAGGATGGAGCGGTCGGTAGCGACGATGGCTGCGAACGGTCGCGCTAAGGAGAATGAGCTCAAGAAGAGCAAACCTGGAGGGACCAGCAAGTTCAGTGAACCTAAGGAGAGTGGTGCAGCAACCAAGGAGCAGCAAAAGGGTGAGGAGAACCCAGAGGCAGCAGCGGAGGAGGACTACGGAGAGAGTATGTGGGGCGCTATTGCGAGCGCGGCATTCTCCAATCCAACTTCGGCTACGGGGGAGTGTGATTGGCTCACCTTGCATCGGCGCATGGGGCATGTGGCCCTGCCCATCTTGCAGCAGCTAGTGAAGAATGAGATGGTTGCTGGCATACGTGTGAAGGGGGAGCCCGATGAGGTGCTTGGCTGCCCGACGTGCATTCAAGCCAAGTTCACCCGGTTTCCGTTCCCTAGTTCGGAGGCAACGGCAAAGGCACCGCTTGATGAGGTGGTGATGGACGTGGTGGGCCCCCTGAAGCTTGGAGCTGCTGGAGCTGAGTATTTTCTCACCATTGTCGACGTCTACACCCGCATGACTTGGGTGTACATGCTGGCCAAGAAGAGCGACGTGGCTGAAACGTTGAAGACGGATTGGTTCCCGATGGTGGAGCGGCAACAAGACCGTCTAGTCAAGTCAATCCGCACCGATCGAGGGGGAGAGTTCCTGAGCAAGGAGTTTGGGTTGTGGCTGAAGAAGAATGGTATTCGGCACTCCCTCACCATGCCATACTCCCCTGCAATGAACGGCATCGCCGAGCGAGTGAACCGCACAATCACGGAGGCGGCACGCGGGTTGCTCATTGAAGCCGGGCTACCCGACTATTTCTGGCCTGATGCGGTGCGGAGCGCGTGTGTGGCCAAGAACAGAGCCTTGACTCATGTGGGAGCAGACAAATGGGTGCCCTATGTGGAGTGGCTAGGAAGGAAGCCAAAGGTGGATATGCTTCGGGTGTTCGGGTGCATGTGCATGGCGCTCGTGCCTAAGCATCTTCGGCACAACAAGCTTGGTGCCAAGGCGGTGTGGGCCGTGCACTTGGGCATGGCTCAAAACAGCAAGGGATGGCTTCTTTGGGACCCATTCACCAAGAAGTTCTTGGTGAGCAGGGACTGCAAGTTCATGGAGAACTTCATGTACAAGGATTGGAAGGCGGAGAATGAGGCGAAGATAGGCATGCGGTTTGGGGAGGTGAAGAGTTCCGGTTTGGAGCATGTGGAGCTGCCTTTGGAGCTGAGCAGCGGCAGCACAACCACAAGGCAATCCTCCCTTGTGAATGGGGGAGAGGAGGCCAATGATACAGAGGAAGAAGAGGAGGAGGTGCAGCAAGTGAGCGAGCGTGCACCGTCACTCCCTTCCCGTACTACGAGTGCTCCACGGATTCGAGCCACACCGCAGCAACGCCAAGGCCTTCAAGTCCCTGCAGCTGAGGAGGAAGGAAGGGGGAAGAGGAGAGTTCAACCCCCTAATAGGCTGACCTATGATGCGCCGGGAAAGCAGGGCAAGACAGCCCTAGCCGGAGCGGCAATGATGGTCGGAGACGACGAGGAGAGTGACTACGAGGAGTGTGCCTTCGCGTTCTTCTCTCCGGTGGAGATGCCGGGAGAACCAGCAACTCTCAAGGAGGCTTTGGAGAGTAGTGATGCTGAGGATTGGAAGAAGGCCATGGAGAGTGAGCTGAAGAGCATTGAGGAGAATGACAC